GCCTGCATATTTATATAAGTCCACTGGATGATATATATGAGATTACCAGAGGGTATTGAGCTCAAAGATAAAGATAAGAAAGGGTCTCGAGACCAATACTGCATAAGGCTGAACAAATCGCTTTATGGACTGAAACAAAGTGGACGCATGTGGTACAATAGATTAAGCGAGTACCTAGTCAGAGAAGGTTATAAGAATGATCCCATCAGTCCATGTATCTTCATAAAGAAATTTGCAAACGAAGGGTTTGTGATAATAGCAGTATATGTGGATGATTTGAACATCCTTGGAACCTCTGGGGAAATCGCCCAAACAGTCAAATATCTAAAGAAAGAATTCGAGATGAAAGACCTAGGCAAGACAAAATTATGTTTGGGATTGCAACTTGAGTACGTGAATAATGGAATCCTTGTGCATCAAAAGGCATATACTGAAAAAGTACTCAAGAGATTCAATATGGACCAGGCCCACCCATTGAGCAGCCCAATGGTGGTGAGAAGCCTCGGATTGGATAGTGATCCATTCGGTCCAAAGAAGGATGAGGAAGAAGTTCTCGATCCTGAAGTGCCATACCTTAGTGCCATAGGAGCGTTAATGTACTTGGCTAGCCACACTAGACCAGACATATGTTTTGCCGTGAACCTCCTTTGCCTAAATTTAGTTCATGATCAACCCAAAGGCACTAGAAAGGTTTGAAGGAAGGTTTGGTTAAATTTTAAATTCTATTCTTCCTATGTTTGTTTATTTGGGTTTTATTCTATACTGATCTAACCAAAGAAGGTCTAGTTTGCTTTGGTTTAGTTTGTTTTGCTGATGCAGGTAAAATCAGATTATGGCATGGTCAATAGATAGGAACTACGTGTGGCTTGATCCCTTCCAAGGGTACGTAGGCAGCCTTCTTCAAGGCGCAGCTACTACAACATCAAAGACCATCATATGAGGAGACAACACAGCCTGTATCGCTCAGCTCAAGGACGGCTACATCAAGGGAGATCGGACGAAGCACATTCTAACAAAGTTCTTCTTCACGCATGACTTGCAAAGGGATGGAGAAGTTCGAGTGGTACAAGTTCGATCCAGCGACAACTCAGCCGATCTCTTTACCAAGGCATTACCAACATCGACATTGAGGAAGCTCACGCATCAAATTGGAATGCGGAGACTTAAGGACTTGCAGGGATGACCAAAACAGGGGGAGTAATACGTGCTGTACTCTTTTTCCTTAACCATGGTTTTGTCCCAATGGGTTTTCCTGGTAAGGTTTTAATGAGGCAGCATCCCCAAGCGTATTACTGAGATCCTTTGGCATCTACACGGTTATGTCATCCAAGGGGGAGTGTTATAAACCACATGTTGGATGGACTCCATAACCGTGGACCTTATGCATATTCTAGAAGGCCCATGTCCATGTCCTAGAAGGCCCATGCCCATGTTCTTGAAGATTCTCCTTATGACGGCCTATATTGTACTTAGTGGGCTTTTGGGCTTTAGGGTTTACTAGCCCAATGGGGATTTGTCTCCCCTCATCATGTATATATATGTATCGAAATCTCATTCATTAATCAATAGAACAACACAGTTTACAACACTTCTTAAATTTTGATTATTTTATTACTTAAAAGCATCAATTCAATATTTACTATAGAAACCAGTCTTATCAAAAATTTCGAAAAGTTTTGTATTCCATATTTCCTTAATCAACTTCTAATGATGCTACTATCTAAAAAAGAAGTTCTGACTTGATAGGCCCTATCGAGGTGTAGGCTTGTAGCAATACCAACCCGTGTTCAAAAAATCGCTAGGCGCTAGTCGGGCGGTGAGGGTGCGCCTAGCGCCTAGCAAGAAAATCGGGGATTACACGGGGATTAATCGGGGATTAGTTTTAGGGCTATTTAATATTTTAAAAACATATTAATCCATTATAATTAAGAAATTTATATAATATTGTTTTTAAAATTATATTAAACACATGAAAACAAGATTTTAATTTCAAATTTATGATTTTTATACAAATTACGAACATAAGTAGGACGTTTTGAATTTTAGATGAAAAAAAAAAGTTAAAAAAAAAAAAAAAAAAAAAAAATTGGGCTAGGCGCCGTCTAGGCGGGCTAGGCGGCCGCCTAGGCGGTCTAGGCGGACAAAAAATCGGATCTCTGATTTTTCTCACCGATTTGGACAAAATCGCCGCGGTGCTCCTCCGACCAGCGCCTAGGCGGCCGCCTAGGCGGCTAGGCGGCCGATTTTTAGAACAGGGATACCAACTATAGAAGGTTTTACGTCTGAGGATTTTTCAATTTTCTCCTTTTCATTCCCTCAAATTCCTATCCCGATTTACGTCCACCTTACACCTTAAGTTGTGTTGTCGAACATTATCTTCCATACAATTTTGTATGTAAATTATTGACTCTCGATCCTTATTACATGTGATGTGGGCTCTACCTATGGATCCACCAACCTCATATTTTATTCTAATTTCCTCTCACTAAACGGATCTTAACGGCTAATATATATGTATATGAATTCATATACATATATATGTTAACAATATCTCTATAGACATTATTTGTCAACAAACGTTTTGTATTGACTTTGCCATCTCATCCCAACTAGATACAACTCATCATTTCAAACATTTTAACTTCCATATAAAGCATTCCCTTCCGATCTCACTTTTCCAATCACTCTTCCCACTTTAACTAAGCAAACCAATAATGGCTACCACTCGTCTAACTCTAGCTCCTCTCCTCCTCATTGCCCTCGTACTACTCGTAACCAAGGCCACGGCTCAGCCGGCAGCCCCCGCTCCAGGCCCTGCCGGTCCCATCAACCTCACCGCGATCCTCGAAAAAGGTGGTCAATTCACTACTTTCATCCATCTTCTAAACATCACTCAAGTCGGTAGCCAAGTGAACATTCAAGTTAATAGTTCATCGGAAGGTATGACAGTGTTTGCACCAACAGACAATGCTTTTCAAAACCTTAAACCCGGAACCCTAAACCAGTTAACCCCAGACGAGCAAGTTAAACTCATTCTCTACCACGTTAGCCCCAAATTTTACAGTATGGACGATCTCCTCTCCGTGAGTAATCCGGTTAGGACTCAAGCTTCTGGCCGAGACAACGGTGTTTACGGGCTTAACTTCACCGGTCAAACAAACCAAATCAATGTCTCTACTGGTTATGTGGAAACACGTGTTAGCAATGCGTTGAGGCAACAACGTCCTCTCGCAGTTTATGTTGTCGACATGGTTTTGTTGCCAGGTGAGATGTTCGGAGAGCACAAGCTTTCGCCGATTGCTCCTGCACCTAAATCTAAATCCGGTGGGGTTTCCGATGACTCCGGCTCCACTAAAAAGGCAGCCTCGCCGTCGGATAAGTCAGGTTCCGGTGAGAAGAAAGTCGGGCTAGGGTTTGGTCTTGGACTTGTTGTCTTGTGTTTGAAATTTCTCTTTTGAAAATTTAATATCAATGATTTGTTTTGCTTTCTATTGATTTTATCCTGTGATTTGAGGTATAAATATGAAATTTGTTAATTAAGTTCCGTGAAATAAAATGTGAGATTTGTACTTATTATTCTCGTCTATAGGTGCCCTGCCGAAGTGAGCATTTTATGGATAACTCTTTTTTTGGCCAACGAAAAACAATAAATTTGTGGCGTGAACAAACTATTTTGTATACTTAATAACTAAAAACTATACAGTTGATGAGATTATTTTGTTTTTTATTTATTTAATTGCAAGTTCCATTCACGACATTTTAACTCGAGCTACGTGAAAATTGGATCGAAGGACGTTAGACCCGCTAATGATGCCTCAGATCCGAAAAAATAGCCATCACATGCGATTACTAGACATATATGGACCATATAACTCTTTTTTGGTTCTGTTATTTAATATTGACCACCAGTATAGATTACTATTCATAATAATAAAGTATCCAGGTAAAGAGTGATCGACTGTTTTCTTATAATTCATCTTTCACATGCGACTGTTTTCTAAAGATTCTTTAGAGTTTAGACTGTGAATCTGTGTTATATATACAAGTCATAAGTTCATAAAATCTATATATACATTTTTGTAACATTTTATGAAATAAATCCTCAAATTGCAACTTTTTTTTTTTTTTTTTTCGTCAGAAAGAAATTATATTAACTTTGAAATGTCATTACAAATTCGAGAATGGAGCCATTCTGGCCGAATACAAGAATCAATAAAAGAATGCCATTGGCATTAATTATTATCAATTAATTAAGATTCTTAATTACTAGCATTTCTTTATCTAATATATTTCCATCAATTCTAAATACTTTAAAAAAAAAAGAAATCTTAGGACATTATTAATATTATACTTTATTGAAAGATAAATATTATAGTTATTTAAAGTTTATTAAACGTTTAGAATATTTAACGAAAAAAATGTTTAGAATATATATAATATGTGAAATCTATAAAAATGAAATAATCATTTGAAAGAAAACTTTAAATTGATTTGAATTATAAATATTTTAATAAAGTATTATTCAAACAAAAAATAATGTTTAATTTACCGAACAAGATTAGATGGTATGACGGATTTATAATATAATAATATATGAAATTTACAACAATTAAATAACCATTTGAAAGAAAACTTTTAAATTGATATGAATTATATATCTTTTAAATTAAAGTATTATTAAAACAAAAATAATAAAATAATGTTTAATTTTACTGAACGGGGTTAGATGGTACGACGGGTTTGGGTCGATAGTAATACGAGACGGTATACCACGGGTGAAATCTATTAGATATGTTTAATTTCACTGAACGGTATTAGATGGTAGGACATGTTTGGATCGATAGTAATACGAGACTGTATACTACGGATGAAATTCTAGATATAACAATTAAAATACAAAAAAAATTATAGTCCCGCGGTACACCGCGGGTTATAATCTAGTTGTAATAACTTGCTGACGGAAAAAAGTACTGTACATGACTTATTAATGCACAAAAAAATATAATGGGCCTAATGAAGTATATTTTAAATTAATGGGCCTGAGCAATTCGGCACGAACATACTAGAAGATAGTTTGCCAATACATATCCAATTTTCTCATTTCTAAAACCCTAAGCTTCGCCGGCAGCTCCGATCGTGATCTTTCATAAACCCTACCATCGCCGGTGATTAAGAGCTGAGCTCAGGTTCTTCTCTCTGCGCTTTTTCCTCCGAGATTTCACTTTGTCTATTCGTACGCTCTGTTTGGTTGCCCTAAAGTCACGCGGTGCCTGGTCGTCTTTCAGTTTGATAATCTTTGCGTGATTTAGAGGTAGAATTGTCATTTTGGTGAAAGCTCGTGGATCTGTTCTTGTTAAAAGTTTGTTCGTCATATTTATTCGACGATCTATGGATACTGTAGATTGATTTAAGCTTTGGGATCTGTTACCGATGCTTTCAATTTCTGAAGCTTTTCTACGCGATCTTTTCGAATTCGTGTTTCGTTCCAGTTTTTGCCATTTCCATTGACTCTCTTAGTAACACTACTCTTGGATTTTGTTTCTTCTGAAATGGAGGCTTGTGCATTGATTTTTCTCTGTGTGTGATTTCTTATGCGGTTTGGATCTTCGTATCTCAGTGTGGTTTTTAATTCTGTTTGGCTCTTAGGAAATGAGTTTCAACAAAGTTCCCAACATTCCTGGATCTCCTGCTCTCTCTGCCCTTCTTAAGGTCAGTGTTATTGGTGGACTTGGTGTCTATGCCCTCACTAATAGTCTCTACAATGTCGATGGAGGACACCGTGCTGTCATGTTCAACCGATTAACTGGTATCAAGGAAAAGGTTTGTATTTCTCAAACTGACAAGAGTTACTTTTATATCTGAGTCTTATGAATAGTTATTTTAAGAAGCGTGACTTTTACTTGGATTTGTGTTTTCAGGTATACCCAGAGGGTACACATTTTATGATGCCATGGTTTGAAAGGCCAATCATCTATGACGTTCGTGCACGACCTTATCTTGTAGAGAGCACCACCGGTAGTCATGACCTTCAGATGGTGCGTTTTGGTTTCTTGTTCTTTTAGCTTATTTTCTCTCTGTGTGTGTACAATTATCCAGACCAGGCTTTAGTTTCAAATGCTGTTACTGAATGTGGAGCTATATAGATCATCCTATACATTCCTTCTTTTGATCTTATGTTAAGATCCTTAAATGCCGCACTAAGAGCATGTTTTAGAAAAGTTTGGATGTGGTTTATAGTTATGAATTGCAGATTGATTTTGTTAGGATATTACATGATCAGTTGTTATCCTTATATGAACTGTGTGAGTGTGTTGATAAATGGTTAAAAAGAAAGGGAGAAACGAGAGTCAAGTTACACTTGCTTTCAGTAGATTTAGGTAGAGCAAAAAAATAATTGGTCTCCATTTTCTTTCTTAAAGGAGTTGCTGTGTTTCTGATATCTTTCTTGGTTGTTGCACAGGTGAAAATTGGACTAAGGGTTCTCACACGTCCCATGGGTGATCGTTTGCCTCAGATTTACCGAACCCTCGGCGAGAACTACAGTGAAAGGGTTCTTCCTTCCATCATCCATGAAACCCTAAAAGCCGTGGTAGCTCAGTACAATGCAAGCCAGCTTATTACACAGAGAGAAGTACGTATCTCAAAATTCTTTTGCTACAACCTTTTCTGCTCTTTTGTTTATAATGTTGGACTCAGTTTACTCTCTCCTCTAGGCTGTGAGCAGAGAGATACGCAAGATTCTGACAGAGCGGGCTTCTAACTTCAACATTGCTCTTGATGATGTCTCCATCACGACTCTGACATTCGGCAAAGAGTTCACTGCAGCAATCGAGGCAAAACAAGTCGCTGCTCAGGAAGCTGAACGGGCTAAGTTCATTGTGGAGAAAGCCGAGCAAGACAGGAGAAGTGCGGTTATCCGTGCACAGGTATAGCATTGTTGATCTTTACTGCAGATCTAATGACATGAGATTATAGGTTTTGGCCTGAAGCATTAGATCTTCTTTGATTCTTTGTGCAGGGAGAAGCTAAAAGTGCTCAGCTTATCGGACAAGCAATTGCGAATAATCAGGCATTCATCACTCTGAGAAAGATTGAAGCTGCGAGAGAGATTGCTCAGACCATTGCACTATCTGCTAACAAGGTTTACCTGAGCTCCAACGATCTGTTGCTTAACCTTCAAGAAATGAACTTGGAGCCTAACCCTAAGAAGTAAAAGAGAAGGAACGAGTAAGTTTTCTTCATTTCTTTTCTCTCTAAAAAATCTCTCCGCCTTGGAAGTAAAGAACGGGTTCGATGTTTGACCAAATGACCCCTTGTCGTGACTGATTCTGAAAATAGTCTTTAAGCGGACATATTGCGACTCAGATTGGCTTTGGTCAGTATTATTCATCATGTTCAATGAAACTTTTTGTTGATATTCAACTTTCCTGGAAAATTGATGAAGTTGAATTTTAAACTTAATAATATTCATATTCATATGATCTGATGATCTAGGCCAACAGTTCTTTTAGCATAGGTTACTTACGACATGCTTACATAAATATCAGAATATAAGATCCATATACCATCCCTACATAAGACTTGCAACATAATATTTTTTCTCGTGTTAGTTTGCTTGCTATTCAATTTTTCTTTTCTCCACTAGTTGCCAACCTTATCTACTACATAAGGATTTGTATTGGAGAGAAGAGAAAATAATATATTGCATACGTATATAAGATTTTGTATGAGCATAGCAACATGGACCCTTTGTATTTAATGACGTCTTGCCGGCGCCACCATGATAGAGACGTCTTTTTCTTTCTTTCACCGCTGAGGAGTTTTATGCGGTGACGTCAAATTTTAAAATTCTGACCAAGTAAACTCTTATATTTCAATATTTGTATATAACCGACGGCTGCTGCTTTTTATGATGTCATGTATAAATTAAAATTAGCTGGAAACGAGTGATGGCCGTTAACCAAGATATTAAAATGTTTTGAGCAATAAATGATTTCAAAATTAAACGCGTTGTGGATTAACAAAAGAGGGAACGACTTGCTGTTTCGTAAAGTTAAAGGGAGACGTCACGTCGTTTTGTCACCGTGAGGGTCCATTTTTTGTCAGCTGTTTCCTTTTGACGAAAGGAGTTGTTAGATTTTCCACAGAATTGACACGTCATCACCTTGGCTTTGTGGAGTTCGTGACGTTTGTGCAACGTTTTTCCGATCATATCGTAAGTTTAACTAATCCTAAACAAGAGCTTCAAATTGTATGAATTCGATGGGAAGATATACGTTTCTATAGTTTTATGCATGTATCAAAATTCTAAATGACAGCTTAAATCCATAACAAAAGAAAGATGCTCAATGGAAAAAGGCATACTATATAGTTGATGTTTAGGCAAAGATATGTTTCAACTAGAATATAAAATACAAATTGATATCTTAATGTTATAGAAAACAAGTCATCGTCATGACGTAATAGAGATGATCTAAAATCTAATGGTCCATACAAATGATTTGCCTTTATCCATAAAACGTAACCTTACGAAGACAATTTTAATTATGACATAAGTATTAAGCAAATAAAGATATCTGTTGACATCAGCCTTGTCGTAAGCCCCTTACTATGTCTTCGTCATCACTTAGTTTAAAATAAACTAATATATCGTGCAAGTCATTGATTTATTAATGCTACAATTTTCTAAATTACAACATGTCAAAGATGACATCTGTTTAAGATAATAACACTTATATTCTAAAAAAATTGAGTTGTCGCATTTGAGTTCCGACAATGAGTTCGAAATTTATCTTTCACTCATAAGTTAAATATATTTTTAAGTTTTGGATGATTTACACTCAACATTAATAAATAATCATATGTTTAGTTATAGATCTTTATTTTGGATACGGTGACGTGGCTTCGGATATCATGAGAATACAGTTTACACATGCTTCGTTGACCCCCAAAGCCAGAAGCTCTCTAAAATCCTCTCTATATAAACTCTTTAATAATCCAATCTTTTACCAAACTAACCCAACTACACAAGTCTCTCTCTCTCTTTTCCCATCTCTCTCCCTCTCTTTGTCTCTCTAACATCAATTATGCAAAAAGCAATTAGACCATACGAGTCATCGTGGACGAAGACCGTACCGGGCAATAGCATTTTCCTTTCAAAGAATGAAGATAAACCATCATCATCATCATCATTATCATGGTTAACATCAGCATCACCAAAGCCAACATCTTTAAGCACTAAGAGATCAAGCAACCTTGTGGTGATGGAGAATGCTGTGGTGGTGTTTGCAAGGAGAGGCTGTTGTATGGGAGACGTGGCAAAACGGCTGCTACTGACACATGGCGTGAATCCATTGGTGGTTGAGATTGGTGAAGAAGACAACAACAACAACTACGACAATATCATAAGTGATAAAGAGAAATTACCTATGATGTACATAGGAGGAAAGTTGTTTGGAGGATTGGAAAATCTGATGGCGGCTCATATTAATGGTGATTTAGTGCCTACTCTTAGACAAGCTGGGGCTTTATGGCTTTGATTTAATCCTCCTTAATCTAAGTTTGCCTTCTTATTTTGTTTCTCTCCCTTTTTTACATTATTTGTTAATATATGTGAACTTAGCTTGTAAAAAATTGCGATTGGTTTGAATGTTTGATCATAGGAAAACACAGAAAATAACAAAAACCTCATCTTTTTTTTTTTATTGTAATTAAAACATTATTTACGAAAAATCAAAAAAAAAAAAAAAAACATTTTGTTATGACACCAAAAAAACATTTTGTTATGACACCACAAAACAAAAAAAATTCAAAACAATTTACTTATTTGTGAAAAACCTTAAAATTTAGCCAAATGTTAAATTTAATATACGTGAAGACATGTTAAACTTATGACACCACAAATCTTACACACCAAAAGGACATGAAGCTAAGTCCGGTTTGTTTTCATGTATTTAAATTGAACACTTCTATTAATTATACTTTAAAAACATTTACTTAAAGATAAAAAATATACTTAAAAACATTTTTTGTGAAAAAATTTTAAACTTAGCAAAGTGTTAAATTTATGACACCACAAACTTACGGACGAGAAGGACGGGATGCTAAGTCCGGTTTGTTTTCAACGTATTTAAATTTAACACTAAACATTTTGTAACGTTCAAAAACTTTTAGTTAAAAATCAAAACAATTTACTTAAATCATTATTGAAAACTGTTTAAAAATAATTAAGTGTTAAATTTTCAATACATGAAAAACATGTCGAACTTATGACACCTCAAGACTTACTGACCAAAAAGATGGGATGCTAAGTCCGGTTTTGTTTTCAAGCTATTTAAATTTAACACCTAGTATTGTTTTTCAAACAAAAATATTTTATAAAATTCAAAAACTTTTAGTTAAAAATCAAAACAATTTACTTAAAACATTATTTTAGTCAAAATACGTGAAAACATGTTTAAATTTAACACCTAGTATTGTTTTTCAAACAAAAATATTTTATAAAATTCAAAAACTTTTAGTTAAAAATCAAAACAATTTACTTAAAACATTATTTTAGTCAAAATACGTGAAAACATGTTTTAGTCAAAATCACTATTATTTTTTAAAAAGAAGTTTAAGTGTTAAATCTCTATCACGTGAAACTATGCCGAACTTCGAAAACCAAAGCTTACGGACGAACTAAGGACATGATGCCTAGGCGCGGTTAGTTTTCGACGTGTTTAAAATTCAATACTTAAACTAATGTTTAAAAAAGTTTAGTGAAATTAACATGTTTAGTTAAAAGTAATAATTTTAAAATGTTTAAGTGTTAAATTTATTTAAATTTTAGTTAATTAAAAGAATATAAGTGGAAATAATAATAATTATTTTTTAAAATTAGTTTAAGTTTTTAATTTTAGGATTTGAAAATAGTTTGTTATTTAATATTTTTAGTGAAATTAAAAATTTATTTAAAATTTAGTGAAATTAACATGTTTTAGTTAAAAGTAGAATTTAAGTAGAAATCATTATTATTATTTTTTAAAAAGAAGTTTAAGTGTTAAATCCCTATCACGTGAAACTATGCCGAACTTCGAACACCAAATCTTACGGACCAACTAAGGACATGATGTCTAGGCGCGGTTAGTTTGACGTGTTTAAAATTCAATACTTAAACTAATGTTTAAAAACAATTTAGTGAAATTAACATGTTTTAGTTAAAAGTAATAATTTTTAAATGTTAAAGTGTTAATTTTATTTAAATTTTAGTTAAATTAAAAGAATTTAAGTGCAAATCATTATTATTATTTTTAAAGTTAGTTTAAATTTTTAATTTTAGGTGTTGAAAATAGTTGGTTGTTTAAAATTTTTAGTGAAATTAAAACTTTCTTTAAAATTTAGTGAAATTAAAGTGTTTTAGTTAAAAGTAATAATTTTTAAATGTTTAAGTGTTAAAATTTATTTAAATTTATTTAAATTTTAGTTAAATTAAAAGAATTTAAGTGGAAATCATTATTGTTATTTTTAAAAATTACTTTAAGTTTTTAATTTTAGGTTTTTATTATAGTTTGGTATTTAATATTTTTAGTGAAATTTAAATTTCATTTAAAATTTAGAGAAATTAACATGTTTTAGTTAAAAATATTAATTTTTAAATGTTTAAGTGTTAAATTTATTTAAATTTTACTTAAATTAAAAGAATTTAAGTGGAAATCATTATTATAATTTTTAAAATCAGTTTAAGTTTTTAATATATGTTTTGAAAATAGTTTGTTAATAAATTTTTAATTCAAATTTAGTGAAATTAACATGTTTTAGTTAAAAGTAATAATTTTTAAATGTTTAAGTGTTAAATTTATTTAAATTTTAGTTAAATTTAGGGGTGTCAAAATGGATTGAAATTAATAGATCAATCCAAACCAATCCAATCCATGGATCTAATGAATTGGAAATTTGGATCTTAATGGATTAATGGATTAAATGGATTAGTGAGTTTAATGAATTGGATTGAAATGGTTAAGATTATAATGGATTAGTGGTTT